GGAGAGACTGTTTCCTAATTAAACTGAGATTCACAGGCCCAGGGCCCTCATTAGGAAATGTCCTCAGGAAATGCTCTTGAAATAGATGAGTGTGCATGTTCTAGTTGTTCTAGTCTCCTGTTTCCACCTCTGTTTGGCCCTTTCTCTCTTTCCAAAAAAGAAAAAAAAAAAAATGAAAAAAACCTTACTTCTAGGAATCTCAAGATATAGCAATCAATCAATACACTATATGTACATTTCCTCTGTCTTAAATGCCTCTTTTGGTTTCTTGGTACAATTATGAGCAGATCCTTGTCCTGGGTAGTGATGGCTGGGGATAGGAGTGTGGAATTCAGAAGGAGGAGGTATATGAATCCTGGCCCTGCCCTCTGGAAGCTTTTGGACTGTAAAAGAATTTAAGTGACACACCCAGGACTCCACCAGAAAGGGGAAATTAGTTTCAGCTGAACATCAGCATCGGCTGTAAGTGCTGGTGACAAGGGGAGGAAGGTTGGAAATGGGGGATTAGTCAGAATGGCTTAGGAATGGCTTCCTAGATGTGGGGGGAAAAGTTGTAGAATAGAGTTAAAAAGAGCTGGAGGGTCAAGACTGGAAGAAAGGAGTGAGGAGGGCATCCCTGGCAGGGCAGGTAACTTACCCAGGCCAAAGGCTCATCCCAGGAAGGGTAAATCAGGATGTGAGGAGCTGAGTGAGAAAGGAGGTGATGGGCCTGAGGGTAGGGGGAGAATTAGGGCAGAGCTCTGGCAGCTGGGTCAGAGAGTCTGGACTGAATATAAACTTTTGGAATGATTGAAGATTATTACTAGAGAAAGGGTATTTCTGAACATGATGTTTGAGGACGATGTTCCTCTGTATTGGTATAAGCTGGATTGCAAGGAGACTTGCTTAGGATTCCCAATCATGGGTTTGCTTCTTCTTCTACAAGTTTGGTTGTTCATTTATTTGTTCTGCTTGCTTCTGTTTGAGTCATAAGATATGATTATTTAACTTCCATGTGTTTTGTTCTTTGGGTTGCTTCTCTGGTATCTTTGTACTTCGTCTGTAGCCCACTTTCACTCATCTTCAGTAAAAGTGGGAAGAGCCCAAGGACCATCCTGCATAACAAAGTGGAGGGGAAGAGAAATGATCAAAAGCATGTATGACCCTGCCATTCAGGTGGTCCTCCTTTGGGATTCTTGCTCGGGGCCCATGGCTGAACTTCAGGAGAGTGTAGGACATTTTTTTGAGAAGGGCAACGTCAAGGGAGTCTGTGATTCAACAAACGTTAAGAACCACTGTTGTGTCTTTGTTGGGAGGTAGGTGGCTGAGGATGGTTCCCCAGAGAGAGAAACATGGTACAAGCATCCCTAGGGCCAACCACAGGAACATCCAGAGACAGTTGAAGGAGCTGAGGGAGAAAGAGAAATTGGGAAAAGAGACATGGGTTCAGGGGAACTGGTAAGAAGAGTGCCCCATCCTTCCCTGTTCTCCACCCTCTTTCTAGCAGGTATTCCTTCCCTATTGTCTCCATGTTCTGACGATGGCAGGACTCTGGTTCCCCTTCAGTTTAAATATGTTGAGTGTCTGCTGTTTATCAATCTATGTACCAAGTCCTCTCACAACAGTACGTCATGCATTTCCTTTGTTGAACCTGAAGTGCACAGAGTGGAATCAATCATTTCCTCCATCATGGCATGTTGGCTCTATCCCTTTCTGTAAGACCCCTTTTTGATTCATTTTCTTCTTTCCTTTCTCTGTTCCCATCTCCCCTCCTCACTGGGGGCACTTGTGTAGTGTCTTTAACAAATGCTCCTCCAATCCATGCTCTATATGTGTATTTAGATACATTCATCCACTCAACAACCACACAGTGCCAACTGTGTCAGGCACAGTCATAGGTGCAGGGAATGCAACCAGGAGCAAAATAATAAAAAAAAAAGTCCTGTTTTCATGGAGCTTACATTCTTTTGGAGTGAGACAAATCATGAACAAATAAATAAGTAAAACATGTAGCACCTCAAATAGTGATAAGCCCTATGGAAAAAAAAAAGCAGGGCAAGGGGATAAGATATGTTGAGGGGGATCAGGAGCAGACTGCAGTTTTATATGGGGTGATTAAGGAAGGCGTTGCAACAAAGGTGCTATTTCAACAAACACAGTTAAGGAAGAAATTGTGTGGATATCTGGGGTAGAAGTGGTCCAGTTAGAGGGGACAGCAAGTACAAAGGCCCTGAGGTAGGGTCTTGTCTGGTATGTTAGGAGACCAGAATGGTTAGAAGGTCAGTGGCTAGAGAAAAATGAGTGGGAAGAGAGAGAGACAGAAGGCTGAGAGGTAGCTGGGTGAGTGACAAATACTGTAGGACTTTGTGATGAACATGCTCACATGGGTCTCCTCATGGACTCAGCAGAGTTTCCTTGGGGTATGTACCTAGGAGAGGGATTGTGGGGTTGGAGGGGGTGTGCACTCTTAATTCCACTAAGATTATGCCTCAAGATGGTGGCACCAGTTATACTCCCACCAGCAGTGTGTGGTAGTCTGTATCTTCTCATAGAATTCTCATGATGATCCAGTAAGGGAAGTCAAGTAAAGTTCCTTATGGAGGAGGAAACTGAGGCTTAAAGAGATTAAGCAAATTACTCTAGTTACATAGCCAAGCGGAAGAGCCAGGGCTCAAATTCAAAAGTTTTGACATAATGTTCTTTGCTCTTATCACTACTGTACCCAGCACTGACTCTTTCAGAAATAAGATGAGGCATCTGTAGACAAAGATATTATTATTATTATTATTATTAATTAAAAAATGTTTATTTATTTATTTTGGGAGAGTGCAAGAGAGCATGTGAGTGGAGGAGGGGCAGAGAGAGAGAGAGGGAGAGATAATCCTAAGCAGGCTCTGAGTTGCCAATGCTCTATTCGGGGCTCGAACTCGTAAACTGAGAGATTATGGACCTGAGCCAAAATGAAGAGTCAGCTTAACCGACTGAGCCACTCAAGGGCCTTCCAGAGATATTATTGTTATTATTATTATTTTAATTTTTAATTTTTATTATTATTTTGCATTTTTCTTTTCTTTCTTTTTTTTTT